TCCACAGCCTACTGTGTGTCTCTTGACTGGATTACTCAAGGGTAGCACTCTACCACTTGAGCCACAGCTCCACTTCTGGCTTTTTGGTGATCAATTGGAGACAAGAGTCTCATGGAGTTTCCTGCTTGGCTTGGCTTTGAATTGTTATCCTCAGTTCTCAGCCTCCTGAGAAGCTAGGATTAGAGGTATGAGCCACAGAGCAGGGCTAAAGAGCTTTTGTATGATATAAAATGTAGACTCTTACTGGGATCAAATTCTAATTTCAATTTGGAATGTAATTAGAATGTAAATTAGAACCTAATTTAGACATGTCTTTCTCTTGGAAGAATTTAGAGACCCTTGCTTTCTCTGCGTCACTGACTAAGTTTTAATCACGGAGGCCTCTCCCATGTAGACATGGCTCCTGTTCTCTTTTCTAGGGAGGAGTTAACAAAATGTACCATGGGATCCAGGACTACGATGAGAACAGTGCCCGCGTGCACCTCGTGATGGAGAAGGGAGACACCGTTTTCTTTCACCCCTTGCTCATCCATGGATCTGGACGGAACAAAACTCAAGGGTTCCGGAAGGTAGGCATTCCCATCGCTGTTCCCATTGGCAGGATGGATGTGTTGGAAGCAAAACTCAAGACATAGCCGGGCACTGGCAGCTTATGCCTATGATCCTAGCTACTCCTTGAGCAAAAGAGCTCAGGGACACAGCCCGGGACCTGAGTTCAATCCCCACAACTGGAAAAAAAATCCAGATGCTGGTATCTCACATCTGTAAACTTAGCTTCTCAGGAGACTGAGATCTGAGGATCAAGGTTTGAAACCAGCCTGGGCAGAAAAGTCTTTGTGTGACTCTTATTCCTGATTAACCATTGAAAATCCAGTGGTGTAGTTGTGGCTGAAATGTTAGTGCACTAGCAAAAGATCTCAGTGAGAGCCAGCAAGCCGAGTTCAAACCATATGTCTGAGGTTTAAAAAAATCAAGATGAATTAATCTTTATAGTATTCATTAAACTAGAGTCTAGCCTAGTTTATTCACCAGGAAATATTTTTTCTTCCTTGCTTCCTACCTTCCTTCCTTCCTTCCTTGTTCCCTTCCTTCCTTCCTTCCATCCTTCCTTCCTTCCTTCCCTCCTTCCTTCATCCTTCCTTCCTTCCTTCCTTTCTTCCTCTTTTACTGTTTCTTTCTTTCCTTTCCATCCTTCCCTTTCTTCCTTCCCTTCCTCCCTCCTAACTTCCTTCCTCTTTTTCTTTTCTTTTTTTTTTTTATTGTGAAAATACTGTACAGAGGGGTTACAATTACATGGGCAAGGAAATGAGTACATTTCTTTTCAAGCATTGTTGCCTCCTTTGTTTCCCTTTCCCATCCCTTCCCATCCCCCATCAAAGTTGTAAAGTTCATTTTTCGACGTAACATCTTGTACATCTCATTGTTGCAATGGGTCCACCTGTATCCCTATTTTAATAATATGTTTTTTTCCCTGCTCCTGCACTAATTATATCAACATCAAATACAGTGAAAATAGGAGTTATACCGTAGGGGAGGGACCTACAAAGCAACAATTTCTCTTTCTCTTTCCATTCCTTTCTTCCCTTTCTACCTCCTTCCTTTCTCTCTTTCTCACACACATCAGTAAGAAGCCACGTGACCTCATCATTTCCCTCTTATAAATGAAGAAGCAACATGATGGTAAGATCTTAATACAGTTAGTACTGAATTTGGTTCTTTATGGGATTACTTAAGAACCATGGTGTTCTTTACGGCATACAGGCTCTGCTTGCTGAGGTAAAAACAAAAACTGAGGTGCTAAAGTCAGAAAACTTGGGTGGACATTGACTATTTATTTATTTGTACTGGTCCTGGGCTCTGTCCTTGAACTTTTGTGCTCAAGGCTAGCACTCTACCACTTGAGCCACAGTACCACTTCTAGGTTTTTTAGTGGTTAATTGGAGATAAAAGTCTCAAGGACTTTCCTGCCCAGGCTGACTTTGTGATCCTCAGATCTCAGCTTCCTGAGTAGCCTGGATTATAGGCGTGAGCCAAACTGGCCAAGTTTTATTTTTTCAAAACAGGAGACTACCTGGATACCGGTGGCTTGAGCTGTGGCTCAAATGGTAGAGCATTAACTTTCAGCAAAAAGTCAGGGACAGTGCCCAGGCCCTGTATTCAAGTGGTAGGAACAGCAGGCACACACACGCACACACACACACACACACACACACACACACACACACACACACACACACACACACACTTACACACACCCCAAACAAAAACGAAGCAGGAGACTGTACTGGAGACAGTCATGTCCTGAGTGAGCTAGTTCACTCTCTAGGAAGAGGCCCCCTGGGATGGCAGGAATTCATGGGCTCAGTGACATGCTTTTCTTCAGTATCAATTTGTTCCTGTTACAGGCAATTTCCTGCCACTATGCCAGCTCCCACTGCCACTACATCGATGTGAAGGGCACCAGTCAAGAAAACATCAAGAAAGAAATCCTGGAGTATGCAGCTAAGTTTTATGGAACTCCAAGTAACATCAGCCTTAAGGTACCTAGTGTGAGATAACAAAGGAAAAATGTCAGCTTTTTTAAAGGAGTGGAGGTGTGGCTTAAGTGGTAGAACATCTACTTAGCAAGGGAGAGGCCCTGAGTTCTAATCCAGGACTGCCAAAGAGAGTCACTCTTTCCCTCCTCAAGATAGTTAATTAATACCTAATTTCATCTGATAGTATATAGGACCTGAGTTAGAGTTCCTTTTAGAAGCATTGCTGAGGATGACAGGGGAAGTTCACTTTGTACTTGCTTCCTTAGTGGAGGCCTTGAAGCTGCTTCTCCAGTCTCTGGTGGTCCTACCACAAGTGGGCAATCTTGTTCCACAAAGGACAGGCAAGAAAAGAGGAGAGGAAATGAAGGACACTGGGCTTTGTCGAGGCACAGAAACCAAGATAAGGTTTATGATCATACCTCTTTTCCATGTAGAATGCAGTATTTAGATGTTAGGTGATCTACCATATTCCTAGTGGGCAATAACTTTTACTTTTTTTGTTTCAGTACTAGCATTTGAACTTTGGGTCTTGTGCTTGCTAAGTACTGTACCACTTGAGTCCTATCCTCAAGATATTAGTTGTCAAGTTCTGAACAAGTTTTTGTGGTTGTTAAATTTGCAACTAGAGTTTTAATGGAGACATAATTCACACAGGCAGAGAGTTAATATCCTTAAGTAAGGCTCATGAGCCGGTATTTCATATGTTTTCCTAATTCATACACATCATTTCACAATCATTTGCTTTTATCAAGTGATTATTTGGGGCTGGGGAGGCAGCTCACTGGTAGTGTACTTGCCTAGCCAGTGTGAGGTCCTGGTTTCAATCACCATCAGTAAGTGTGGGTGCAGGAATGCATACCTGTCATTGCACTGACAAAACAGGATCAAACAGTTCAGGATGGCCTAGGCATCATGTAAGATCCTGTCTCAAAAATGATCCAAACCAGGGTCTGTGTACCATTTTAATTATCTCATTCTAATCAGAAGCAGATTGCTCAAAGTAGATCAGGCAGATAACACAAGGGCAAGCGAAGGAAGGCCAGCAAGGTGTTTGTCCTGAGACGAAGCATCACATTGACTCAGGACCCACTCACATAGGGAAGTAGCAGTATTCTAGCTATTGGGAAGTATTTAATTGGAGTCTTAAGACTAGGTGTGTAACTATTAATGGGAATGAATGGGCCAGAGAAAGCATCCCATAAACACTTTCTATTTGATGTTATTTCCAGGATATTTGGACATTTCGATCCCGGCTTGTGAAAGGAGAAAGAATCAACCTTTGAAAACAGCCCTACCATGTCACTTTGTCAGAGGAAATCAAAGCAAGCCAATGAATCCAAGGGAAATGCTTTCTCATTGGAGTGATGTCATCTTGTCTCTCACTTGGTAATCAGTTATGTGCGGGGGAAGGAATTGTATGGAGTAAGATTTGCATTGCATCAATCATGTAATGGTATGGCTAAATATTACTAACTGGAGGTACAACTAATAAAAGTGATCGGTGTAAAATTCCAGTGTCTCAGTTTTTTCTATTCAATTAGCCCTCCAGCCAAGCAGGAGTGAAATCCTGGAAACTCAGAATGCATTGAGTTGTACATTCTCCTCTGATAAACCCACTATTACCAATGTCACATGACATTTATTTTCAAACCAGAAAAATGCCTAGTACACTCCTGAAACCCCTAAGAAGGTGTGATGCGCCCACAGGAGGGAGCACAGAGCATTGTTGTTTCTCTCTCTCTCTTAATAAGATCTTGCTGTAGCCGGGTCTGGCCTTGAAGTCAGGATTATCCTTCCTCAGTCTTCCAAGTACTAGGATTCCAGGCTAGGATTCTACAGCCCACATGTGATATTGTCTTCATGCTTAGGCTTGGGGCAAGAGTATCTGGGAGGGAACCTTATGGTGACTTACTGCTCATGGTTTTGACCCTGACTGTGACTCGGGCTGCCCAAATCCTCCACTGCCCAATTCCCTCCACACTGCATGCTTTGGAGGGAATTCTCACGGATGGGGATTTCTACTCCTGCCTCCTTCCAGGGAGACTATCTGAATGCAATTTCTCGAATTCTTGGGCAACAATTTGCTCCATTTTTTTCATTCATTTAATTTCCCATTCAGATTTTGAGGGAGAGCCAGGCGCCGGTGGTATTAGCGTGACTAGGAGCCACCAGTGCTCAGGAGGCTGCGATCAGAGGATTGCTGTGCAAAGGAAAGTTGATGAGACCAGCCAGAAGCTGCCGGGGAAGCCGCGCTTCAAGTGTAGAGCAGCAGCCTGGAGCAAAGTGGCTGGGGAAGAGCGGGGAGCTCTGGATTCCAGCTCCAGAACCAGGCATGGGCGGCAGGCAGCAGGACGCGCACCCGCACCCAGGCACGCACTGGGCCGGGGCCGCCCTCCGCCTCCGGGGCGGGGCCGGGGCTGGGGCCGCGTTAAGTGGGGCCTTGGCGGGGCGGGCGGCGCAGAGTGCACGCCGCCATGGACGCGCGCGCCACCACCCGCCTGCGGACCATCCTGGGCCACCTCGGCCGCCCCGAGGCCCGGGACGTCGTATCCTTGGACGTCGTATCCTTGACCCTGCGCGGGGCTCTGCTATAGCTCTCCGCCTCATCCCGGGTGGTCCGGGGGCCTGGCGACTGGATCCTTCCTCTAGGTCCGCCCGGACAGCAGCCCCACGTCCTTGTCCTGGGGGGTGAGGCTGTCGGGCCTGGGGAGGGGGCTTCGGTGGGTTCGAGGGGATGCGGTGGGTGCCCCGTTCTGGGTCCTCCAGGACGCGGTTCGTCCTTGGTGATCCCGGGCGTCCGTCCTTGAGAGGCGGAGCTGAGCCTCTGGCGCCGCCCTGGGCCGCCCCCCACCCCAGTGGGACCCCCTCTGCGCCCTCTGTTGCCCACTTCCGGTGAGCTCCGGGGGGCCGCGGGACCCCAGGGCCCCCCTACAGGGTGGATTGTGGCAGTTCCGGAGGAAGTTCCCCGCAGGAGCTGCCCTTCCCACTTCCTGGGGCGTTGAGCACTTGGATGGCACTGACAACCAGGAAGGTGACCTTCCCTCTGGCTCCGCCCCACATCTGCCAGGCCACAGCACTAGCAGCTTGGACAGATCATGACCCTCCGCGGATAACCTCATCGCAGGGCACAGGGAAGAGACTTCCACCCGAGGAGGGCACAGATTGCCCAGGGGCCTTCAACCAGAGCAGCCGCTGTGGAAATGGTCGTGGACCACACCAGTCCGTGTCACCTGCATTGCCACACACCTCGGTGCTAGGCTCATTCAACACACTGGGCAGTTCTGCTTAGGACTAGAATCATGTTTCTTGGTCATGTCTCTCACTACTTGTTTTTTGTTGTTGTTGTTGTTCCTGGACCTGGAAAATGCTCCTAGCTTCTTTGGTTCAAGGTGAGCACTCTACCACTTGACCCACAGTGCCATTTGCAGCTGTTTTGGACTAGTTTATTGGAGGTAAGAGTCTCCTTAACTTTCCTGCCCTGGCTGGCTTCGAATCCCAATCCTCAGCTCTCAGCCTCCTGAGTAGCAAGGAATATAGACTTGAGCTGCCAGTGCTCTCACTAGTCTTTTGCTCTACATTCTTGTTTGTGTTGGTGATCCTGGAGATTAAGCTCAGGATTACAAGTGTGGATCACTGACACATGGAATAATAATGCTTTTGAAATACAAAATATGTTTTTAAAATGCAGAAAAGTAAATCAGAAGAAAATAAAGAAATGGAACCCCCAAATCATCATTTGCCCAGACACTGGTAGCTCATGCCTATCATCCTAGCTACTCAGGAGCTAGATCTGAGGAGGGGTGTGAGGATGGAGCCTGGACAGACAAATTGGAGAGGAGACACTCTTATCTCCAGGAAACCAGCAAAAAGCTAGAAATGGAGGTGTTTTTCAAGTGGTAGAACACTAGCCATGAGCAAAAGAACCAAGAGTAGAAGGCCCTGAGGCCCTGAGTTCAACTCCCACTACACAAACACACACACACACACACACACACACACACACACACACACACACACACACACACACACATGCTCACCATTTGTAAATTTTCTGGCATAGTTCTTTCCTATGTATATGTTACATAATTAGGACTATACTTTTTATATGTTGCTTTCTTCCATTTTCAACTTATTTTATAAATATTTCCACATCATCAGCAATGTCTCTGAGAACAGCTAACAAACATGCTGCAGTAATAGTGGAGAGGGGCCAAGAATATGCCTTCTTGAAGGCTATAATCTGCATGTCCTTGAACTGACATTGCTGAAGGTAATTGAGCAAAGACTTTCACCAGCCTACCTCTGAGAGACAGAAAGTGATTCTATTCTGACTTGTCACTGGCTTTTTTTGCTGGAGTACAGTATTGCTACCCAATTCTACAAAGACATCATTTAAGAAATAATAAAATAGCAGGGTGCCTTGGCTCCCCTATATTAGGGGACTGAGAATAGAAGGAGTTTAGAGTTCAAGTTCTGGACAGAAAAGTCCTTAAGACTCCATCTCCAAAACAACTAGCAAAAAGATGGGCTGGTGGCTTAGTTCAGAACTAAATTCAAGCCCTAGTACCATCAAACAAACAAATGACAACCAGTTGTTGATAATTAACATGTAAAAGTAACACTTTAACCAAGAATCAGTGAAGAAAAACAGCAATATGCTATGTCAAAAATTTGTAGTTCTTGTGCAAGAAGTGTTTCAAGTATTTTCCGGCATTAGAAAAAAATTAAGTACCAGTACACTGTGTGGCTTCTGTATACTGTTCTGGGGTTCTTTTTCGGCTTTGGGTGGACTAAGATTTCAGGGCCCCCTACCTCTAGACAAGTCTTCTACCTGGAGTCACATTGAGTAGGCCTGTTTTCTCTCCCTGCTTGTAGAGATAAGCTTTGGGGTTTGTGTCCAGTCAGCACCCCAGTGCAGGAAAATGGAACCAGACAGATTTGTTTCTGGGTGGTCAAAGCCCCGGTTTCCAGCTCTGTGCTCCATCAGACCTCCTTAGTTCCTTGTGCTGTGGGTGATGAACTGAAGGGCAGAAGCAACAGGGCTTGAGGCTACCTGGGAGGTCAGGGTGAGTCTCCTGTCATTTTCTGCAAAGCAAGCACCCAGTAGTTTCTAAAAAAGGTTGGCTCCTCCTTTTCCATTGTCTGCCTTAACCTCCATCCTAGGTAGCACACCCCACTTCTGGGACTGTTTCTCCCACCAGTTTCCATCCTCAACAATTCCAGTAAGTAGATCTCACCTTTGTTTGTGGCCACACTGTGGGTGTTCGTGTTTCCAGGGGAGATCAGCTTGTTAGACTCAATAAAACATGTCAGCCCTTAGCTTTCATCATTCAAGTCCTCTGTCCTGGGTCTTGCACTAATTAGGGCAGTGGTTTGAAGTTTGGAAGGCCTTAATTTGAATTTTTCTATGTGTATTCTAAAATTCAGAAACAAGCAGAAAATACGTAATCTCACCTTTAAAAATTCACTTGAGGGGCTAGGAAGGTGGTTAAGTGGTAGAGTGTTTTCCTTGCATGCATGAGGCCCAGGGTTCCATTCCTCAGCACCACATAAAGACAAAAAGCTGGAAGTGTTGCTGTGGCTCATGTGGTAGCACTAGCCTTCAGCTGAAGAACTAAGGGACAGCGCCCAGGCCCAGAGTTCAAGCCCCATGAGTGATGAAAAAAATTCATATGATATATCCCATTTAAAATAGCTTATATTTATGTAGTATATCACACTATATTACCAGTGCCCCATCTGACATTTTCAATGCCTACATCATAATCATAGAGTGGTTATAATGACTTTAATTAAAATTTCTTCCATTACTGCACATTTTTTTGATGATCATAGTCAACTTTGTTTTTTTGCTTTCTCTTTTTCTTTTCTTTAGTTTTTTCCTTTTTTTCTTCTTTTTTTTTTCGGTTGTGGGACCTGAACTCTGAGCCTTGGCACTGTCCCTCAGCTATTCAGCTCAAGGCTAGCACTCTACCTCTTGAGCCACAGCACAACTTTCAACTTTTTCTGCTTATGTGGTGCTGAAGAATCCAACTCAGGGCCTCATGCATGCAAGGCAAGCACTCTACCAGTGAGCCACCTTCCCAGTCCTAGTCAACATTTTAAACTTAAAAAAAAAACAAAAACTTTTTTTTCTGGGATTTGAACTCTGGGCTTGGGGTCTATCCTTCAGCTCTTCAGCTCAAGGCAAACACTCTACCGATTAAGCTACAACACCACTTCCAGTTTTCTAGTGGTTTATTGGATATAAGAATCTCTCGGACTTTCCTGCCGAACTGGCTTTTAACCATGATCTTCAGATCTCAGCCTCTTGAGTACCATCCAGTGGAACTTAAAATTTTATAAACTTTTCCAGATTATTTCCTTAAAACCATAATAATAGAAATGCTTGATTCAAAAGCAAACAGGGACTGGGTGCCGGTGACTCACCCCTGCAATTCTAGCTACTCAAGAAGCTGAAATCAGAGGATGGAGTTTCAAAACCAGCCAGGGCAGGAAAGTAGAGAGTACTATCTCCAATTACCTACCCCCCTGCAAAGCCAGAAGTGGAGCTGTGACTTAAGTGATAGTGCTACCTTGAGCACAAAAAGCTCAAGGACAGCACCCAAACCCTGAATTCAAGCCCTATGACTGACTCCCCTCCCCTAAAAACACCCCTGAACATGTGTCAAGTTTGTGGTACATCTTGTTAACTTGTACTTTGAAATTTGAGTTTATTTGGTGGGACTTTCTTGTCATTTAGGTTTACTTTGGATAACAGCATCCTAAGCCTGGAGCAGAGACAATTTTATGAAGAAAATGGTTTTCTTGTCATTAAAAATCTGGTATCTGATGAGGATATCCAGCGCTTCAGGTATAGTAGTACTTTGACAACCATATGGATTACACTTGTGTATGCAATGCAAATTGTCCTCTGCAGGTTCAGATTTGTTTTTTTTGTTTTTTGTTTTGTTTTTAGGACTTGAACTCAAGGTGCTTTCCTTGAACTTTGCTTTCTTTTCCTTCCTTCTTCCTTCCTTCCTTCCTTTTTTTTTTCTCTTTGCAGTTCTAGGGCTTAAACTTAGGGCCTGAGCACAGTCCCTGAAGTTTGTTTTGTTCAAGGTTAGTGCTCTACCACTTCAGCCTCAACTACATTTCCAGCTTTTTGGTAGTTTATTGGAGATAAGAGTCTTGTGGACTTTCTTGCCTGGGCTGGCTTTGACCTGCAATCCTCAGATCTCAGCATCCTGAGTAGTTAGGAGTCTAGGCATGAGCCTTGGACTCTCCTGAGCTTCTTTGTTCAAGGTTAGCACTGTACCATTTCAGCCAGAGCTCCAGTTCCAGCTTTTGGTGGTTAACTGGAGATAAGAGTCACAGACTTCCTCCCCATGCTGGCTTGGAGACACACTCCCCAGACCTCAGCATCCTGAGTAGCTAAGATGACCGAGGTGTGAGCCTCCGGTTCCTGGCTTCCAGCTAGCATTTTTGATCCTGCTATTTTCTCCTCCATCCCAGGAGAATTCCAAGTCGGGCTCCAGGACAGAGAAGCCACCCTGAACCCACACAGCCTTCCCCAGGGTGGGGCACTGAGCGGAGAGCTTGCAACCCTCACTCATGACATCTTTGGTAAATTTAACTTTCTAGGGATGAATTTGAAAAAATCTGTAGGAAAGAAGTGAAGCAGGATGGATTGATAGTAATGAAGGACGTGTCCATTTCAAAGTTGCAACTTGGTCTAAGTGAGAAAGTGGTCACCAAGATTCAGGATTTCCAGGAAGACCCGGAGCTCTTCAGATACTGCACACTTCCCCAGGTGACAGTGGGCGCTCTGCTCCTTCCCCTCAGCCCCCTCTGGCCAGGCAGGGGCTCTGTCTCCCAAGATGCTCCATGGGCTCCATCCATGCATCTTCTTTGTGTTTGTGGTACTAGGGTTTGCAAACAGGACCTCACACATGCTAGGCAAGTGCTCTACCACCTGAGCCACGTCCCTAGGCCCCTGTGTTTTGTGATAGGCTCTCACTATCTTTATCCCAGCTGGCCTCAGTCTCATGTTCCTCCTGCCTCTGCTTTCTGACTAGCTGCAATTATGGGCATGTGTCATCATGCCCGATGTACTTTTGTTTTTAAATTTAGTTTGTTAAAAAAATTTCTCGGGTTGAATTGTGATTCAGTTGGTAGAGTGCTAGTCCAGTGAGCAAAAGTGTCGGAAACCAAGTTCAAGACCCAGTCTTGGATCAATAATAAAAGGAAACGATCAAAAAGAAGGGAATTGAAAAGAAAAAAAATTATGTTTCGTATTGGGAGTTGAGCTCAGGCATTGTCCATGTTAGGCAAGCATTCTGCCAGTGCTCTGGGGCTTGAACTCAGAGCTGTTCCTGAGCTTTTTGCTTAAGGGCAACACTCTTGGCACTTTAGCCACAGCTCTACTTCTGGCTTTTCGGTGGTTAGTTGAAGGTTAAGAGTCTTATGGACACTCGGGCCTGGCCTGATTTAGAACTTCCATCTTCACATCTCAGCCTCCTGAGAATAGCTAGGATTACAGATGTGAGCCACTGGAGCCAAGCTTTCTAATACTAACAATAATAACAAAGCCTCCCCCTCTTTCTGTAACTGCAGCAGAACATGGTGACTCACACCCATAATCACACCCAGATACTCCGGAGGCAGAGATTGGGAGGATCTAGGCACAAGTCCAGCAAGACAAAAAGTTATCAAGATCCTATCTCAACTAATCATTTGAGTGTGGTATTTTTCACTAGTGTTTTTTTTTTGTCCAGTTGTGGGGCCTGAACTCTTGTCTGGGCACTGTTCCTCAGCTCTTCAGCTCAAGGCTAGCACTCTACCACTTGAGCCACAGTGCCACTTCCGGCTTTTTTCTTTTTGCTTATGTGATGCTCAGGAATCAAACCCAGGGCCTCATGCATGCAAGGCAAGTGCTCTACCACTGAGCCCCCTTCCCAGCCCTTCACTAGTGTTTTTCAGCTAACCTGGAGGCATAGATAGAGAGATCCTGGTCCAGGACACAAACACAAAACCCCATTCAAATTATAACTAAAGCAACCAGGTGCCAATAGTTCATACTTGTAATCCTAGCTACTCAGGAGGCTGACATCTAGGAGGATCATGGTTCAAAGACATCCAGGGAAGAAATGTCTGAGAGACTCCATATCTAAACTAACCAGCCAAATACTGAGCTGGAGGGATGGCTCAAGTCTACCACTGTGTGCTGGAGCTGTGGCTCAGATCTCATCAGCTGTGAGTGGAAAAAGCTCAGTACAAACAAGGCTCTGTGTTCAAACCCTGATAGTGACAAATAAAATTGATTTATTAAAGTGTGAGGCCCTGAGTTCATTCCCCAGTACTACTGCTAAGGCTATTGATATCTATAAAAGAATCTATGCAGTACAGAAAGACTTTCCCTACCCCCCAACCCCACTCATAGGTAAAGTATTCATGTCTTTATGAGGAATGAGTCCTTGTACATGAACCTATTTGCATATGCCCTCTTTTGGGGACACAGGAACCTGTGGCTCCTCAGGTTTTCTTTTTTTTTTTCACATACAGTGGATCCCAGACATCTTTCTCTATCAATTTCAATGTAACTTGTCAACCATTGCAAAACATCGCATTGTACAAATGTGTCCTGGTCTCTTCTTCAAGGCAAAGTAGTGATCCACCATATCAATGGTTTCTTGATCATTTGTTCAGGAGACTTTACATTCAGCACTTGTAGAATATTGTCACCATTTGCTGTTAGACAAGTTGACCAATGTAGAAAGACTGTGCAAGTTAAACATCTGTGATGTCACGTCAGGCCTCAGACAAGAAGGTCACAGGGGAAGTGGCCCTCTTGGCTATCTGGATTGCAATCCTCTTATTCATGGTTCCCAGCATAGCTGGAATAACAGAATGGTCACCACACCCAGCTTTTTATTGGTAGAAATCAGGTCTCACTAACATTTTTCCCAGGCTGGTCTTGGATTAGGATCCTCCTGATATCACTCTCTGAGTAATTGGGACAATGGGTTTAAGACATGGAGTCTGTTTTTCTTGTTCACCATAGTGACCCCATTTTCTACCCCTGTGTCTGGTTCGTAGACATCATTTAAGGTCTTGCTTACTGATTTTGAGGAGTTTGCTTAACCACTGTTCTGTTTTCTGTAGGGATCCTCATGTTGGGCCCTTTTCTCCTGGAGTTTCTAAGGAGGACCCTGCCTTGTCCCTGGCCAAACTCTGTGGCTTTATCAGCAGCCTTGCTATTGTCCTCTCTAGTTACCTTTTATTTGTCTCTTAGGGGAAAAAAGGCTACATTTCAAGCTGGCTCCATAAATCCCTTTAATTCAGAGGATTAGAGATTTAGCATGATATTCAATTGCTGAGCTTTTCACGCTTTATTGGCAGTGTTGGAAAATGCCAGTTGGGTTTTTAGACCACTGCCATCTTGGTTCTTATGTGATAATTGAACTTTCTCCCACTGGGCTAGCCTTCTGATTTCCTATGAAGTTGTTCTTTCTTTTCTCTTAGATCCTGAAGTATGTGGAGTGTTTCACTGGACCCAATATTATGGCCATGCACACCATGCTGATAAACAAGCCGCCTGATACTGGTAAAGATGTTTTTCTTTGTTAAGGAGAAGTAAGAGAAGAAAAATTATTGAGTTAAAGTATTTAAAACTATGGTTCTAGTCCTGGTCATATGAATGTATGCAATTTCCTTTCAGTCTTAAAATTGCTTCTATGATTACCACCTTAACGTCTAATAGTAAATTTATTTTATTATATTCTGTCCTGGTTCTTGGGTTTGAACTCAAAGCTGTAAACTCTCATCTCATTTTTTCTACTTAAGACTCACACTTTTCCAATTTAGCCACAGCTCTGCTTCTGGCTTTTTGGTATGTAATTGGAATAAGAGTCTCACAAACTTGTCTGTCTGAACTGGCTTTGAACCATGATCTTCAGGTCTCAGCCTTCTGAGTTAGGATTACAGGTGAGAGCCACCAGGACCTGGGTAATAATGATTTAGTTATCGACTGGAAGGTTATTGGTAAATATTCAGATGATGCAGTTTAACAAAGGTACCTATATCATGTATCTTAACCTAATTAATATATATGTATATAAATATAAATGTATATATATATAAAATCTTTATCAGCCAGTCTGAGCCATGAGAATACAGATCAGCATTATTGATTTCAAAACTGCATTAATTATATCTAACAATTAAAGCTCCGATATAAGTCACACATGGTTTTTCTTAAGATGTCTTGTTGCTTGCCAAAATGTAGATTTTTGAGACCTGATTTCCAGAGAGACTGATGAAGAAGTACCGCCCAAGTTTCTCAATTTATTTTTATTTTTTTGTGCTGGTCCTGGGGCTTGAACTCAGGCCCTGGGCACTACCTTTGAGCTTTTTTGTTTAGGTGTCTCATTCTATCATTTGCACCACAGCTCCACTAATGGTTTCTTACTGGTTAATTGGGGATAAGCATCTTAATGACTTTCCAGCCTGTGCTGGCTTTGAATCATGATCATCTGATCTCAGCCTCCTGCAGGAGTAGCTAGGCAGGAGTCACCAGTGCCCAGCTGTTTCTCACTTTTAATAATTTCTCAGAGTTTCTCCAGCAGGTGGCGCTTGGATTGCCTGAGAAATCCTCCTCTACCAGCAGACACCAGCCCCATGTCTTCTCCTTTTCTCTTTTGCTTCCTTCTGACAGCAGAAGAGATTTATGTGATTGGACTAGTGCTTTGTGTCCAACTCTATTTCTCCATTGCGTCTAATCTGGAGAGATGGAGCAGAGCTGGGAGGAATGGCCACGTGGATAAAACAGAGAAAGGGCCACTTCCAGACACCACACCAGATGACTAGCATTCTGTGAGGGGAAACTCCTGCAAGTCTGTTTGTGACGTTAGTGGCTTAGAAGAGGACCTCCACCTTGTCCCTGTGCCATTGTCTTCAGTTTAATTCACCCCAATTTTTTTAAATAGTGGATGTTACTTTTGGGCCAATTCCAGAGTGATAAAAAGACAAAAAGGCAGCTGGTCCGTGGTGGCTCACATCAATATTCCTAGCCACACAGGATGTTGAGATCTGAGGATCACAGTTCCACGCTAGCCTGGGCAGGAAAATTTGTGAGACTCTTATCAATAATTGACCATCCCAGAAAGTCAGAAGTTGAGATGTGTCACAAGTAGTAGAGGGTTAGTCTTAAGTGAAAAAGCTCAGGGACAATGCCTAGGCTCTGATTTCAAACTTCAGGACAAGTGTGCATGCACACGCACATACACACACTGAAATAAATAATAAGAAGAAGAAAGCAATTTAGTGCTAATGTGTGACTTGCTAGAGTGAAGCACTTGGCTACCAGTAACTCAAAAGCAAGCAGTTGAATTGGGCGCCCTTGTTATTAATTTACTATGTCAATTTGGTGCTTATCTGTTAGGACTGATTTTATACAGTGTAGTTTCCTTTGTGCAGGAATAAGTCAGTGCAGTGATTTTTCAGGACTAGGGTAAGGACTCTGACACTTGAGCATCTTTTGAGAGCACATTGTTTTCTAGGCAAGAAGACATCCCGGCATCCCTTGCACCAGGATCTGCACTACTTCCCCTTCAGGCCCAGCAATCACATTGTTTGTGCGTGGACCGCCATGGAGCATATTGACCGGAACAACGGTTGTCTGGTTGTGCTTCCAGGCACCCACAAAGGCTCCCTGAAACCCCATGATTACCCGAAGTGGGAGGTAGGTCTGCCTGGCCATGGGGTCTTGTTCAGAATCCCTTTCTCTGTTTGTATTTCATACCAATATTCGTGAAGAGCTGAGGCATGAGACTGCATTTCCTTTCTTAGAAATGCCTTCTCCTGGGATTTGCAGTGCAACTTCTGGAGAGGCTCTGAGAATAGCTGATGTTAGGGCCAAGCTTTTAAGAGTAACAAAGAGGGTCTATGGAGGTATGAGGGTCAAGGGTGAGCAGCAGCCTCACAGGGGAGTAGGAAAGAAAACAAGCTCAAGGTCTAGAGGTACATTTGGAGGACTAGCAGGGGAAAGCCTGAGAACATAGGGGACTGGATTAGAAAGCACTTTATCCCTGACTTTTCCTGTTCATATGGGAGACAATGGAGGCTGTGTAGTTGTTATTGATTGCAGAACTGGTATGTGAACTCAGACTCTAGAGCTGGTGAGGCAGTTAATCTACTACTTAACCTATCACCCCAGTCCTTTTGTTTTCAGTTTCTTTTTCATATAGGATCTTGCACGTTGGCTCTGGCCAGCATTGGATCTCAACGCTCTGCCTCTACCTTGCAAGTAGTCTTGCAGTCTTGTGCCATTATGCCTGGCCCAAGAACCTGGTTGTTGTTATTGTTGTTGTTGTTAACAACCTAGAGAGCTCTTGTTTCTAAGTTTTATTTCCATGGAATAAACTGTAGCTATCTTAAATGTGTAGTAGAGTATCTCACACACACATTACTTCAGTGAAGAGAATCTCTTCCATCCCCTGCCCGAGGCAACTGCTGAGCTGGGTTCAGTTCCTATAGATTAGTTTTCATTTCCTAAATGTTCTATACATGCTATTGTCTAGAATCTATTTTTCTTTGGTGTGGCTTCTTTGGCTTGGGATGGTTAATTTTGAGCTTCACTAATGGTGCAGCTGAGTAGTATTCTGTCGCCTCCTGTACTATGGTTTGTTTGCCACTTTAGCTCTTGATGCTGAGAAACCAATATGTGTTTTTGTGACCACAAATGATGGGACCCAATGGGTTCTTCAAAAACGGTTATCTCTCAGTCTGACATAGGATGCTTTGGAGGCCTAGGAGGCCAGAGAACCAGAGAGAGGATTCCTGGGATTTTAGGTATATAGCCAGAGGATCCTGAAATCCTTGGTGCTGTCAGAAGGGAATGAACACTTTGGCTAAAGGAGAGCCACTAAGTTGGGATTCTGTATGGACTAGAAGAATATGGCTCCTGTCTTAGTACGTTGGAGTTCTTGTAGCAATGATTGGAATTCTGTGACAGTATTTGTGGAGATGTGTCTTACTACATTAGCATTCTTGCATGAATGACTGGAATTAGGTGAAAATGAGTTGAGCATGCATCCTGTTATACAACCTGGAATTGTGAAGTTCATCAGTGAAAGGTTAGGGAAGGGTGGACGTGAGTAAGAGCAGCAAGCTCTGGCTCACTTGAGTCAAAGAACAAGGTTTAGAGGACTTGAGGGGCAGCGTGGTGTCAAGTGAGGCTGCTGGCTGAGGAGCACTGGTGAGAGGTCAGCTTGCTTGGGCAGAACACATCCACCTTGGCTGGGAGAGAAGGGCACAGGTCCAAGCCACGGCCTTTTCCTGTGGGTAAATGGCCATTTCTCCAAAGAAATATGGGGTGGTCTCTGCCAACCCTATCTGATTCATACGATTTAGAACATAATTATGAGTTTCAATTTCTTTAATAAACATATAATATAATAGACTTAGGGAATACTTAAAAGCAAGCTTAATGTCAATCGACCAGAAAGAAATGTATTTCTTTATCTGACTTATGTAACTCTAATATCTTTGTGTAACACCTTCATAATAATAACATTAAAAATTTTAATAAAAACAAGTATGTTTATATTTACTATTATTAACTTGAGATATCCCATAAACGATCCTAAATTCTGAACATTTTCTCCCCTGTTTTAGAAGAAAATAATAGGCTAGTAGAAGAAGAAAAAGAAGAATGATATTTTTATAAAGTTCTGTGGAAGAAAAATGTCACAGGAGGACAGAATGTTACAGGACCAGACTAGAAATGCCTCAAAGATATTCACCTGTGTTAACCACCAGTGCCAGGGTGGTCTGGATCAGTTGATAGTTCAGTCATGAAGGATACGTAGGAATTCAGAATTTTTCATTGGGTCCAAAAATGAAATCAATGGTTTCAATATAAACACTTGGCTTTTAAAACACAGCCATTTGAAGCAGGGCGCTGGTGACTCATACCTGTAATCCTAGCTACCAGGAGGCTAAGATCCAAGGATAAGGGTTCAAAATCAGCCCTGGAAAGAAAGTCCTTGAGACTCCTATCTCCAATAAACCACCAGAAAATCAGAAGTGGCGCTGTAGCTCAATGGTAGAATGCTTGCCTTGACCTGAAGAGCACAGGGACCGTGCCCAAGCCCAGAATTCAAGCCGCATGACCGACAAAAACAAAAAAGAAAAGAAAAAAAAGAAACTCAGCCCTTGAGGCTGTTTTTTTGTTTGTCCATTTTCTGGTGATAATCCTGCAGCTTGAATCCACAGCCTCTCTTAACTGGTTTACTCAAGGGTAGCACTCTACCACTTGAGCCACAGCTCCACTTCTGGCTTTTTGGTGATCAATTGGAGACAAGAGTCTCATGGAGTTTCCTGCTTGGCCTAGCTTTGAATTGTTATCCTCAGTTCTCAGCCTCCTGAGAAACTAGGGTTAGAGGTATGAGCCACATTGCAGGGCTAAAGAGCTTTTGTATGTTATAAAATGTAGACTCTTACTGGGATCAAATTCTAATTTCAATTTGGAATGTAATTAGAATGTAAATTAGAACCTAATTTAGACATGTCTTTCTCTTGGAAGAATTTAGAGACCCTTGCTTTCTCTGCGTCACTGACTAAGTTTTAATCACGAAGGCCTCTCACATATAGACATGGCACCTGTCTTCTTTTCTAGGGAGGGGTTAACAAAATGTACCATGGGATCCAGGACTACGATGAGAACAGTGCCCGAGTGCACCTCGTGATGGAGAAGGGAGACACTGTTTTCTTTCACCCCTTGCTCATCCATGGATCTGGACGGAACAAAACTCAAGGGTTCCGGAAGGTAGGCATTCCCATCGCTGTTCCCATTGGCAGGATGGATGTGTTGGAAGCAAAGCTCAAGACATAGCCGGGCACTGGCAGCTTATGCCTATGATCCTAGCTACTCCTTGAGCAAAAGAGCTCAGGGACACAGCCCAGGACTTGAGTTCAAGCTCCACAACTGGAAAAAAAATCCAGATGCTGTTGTGTCATATCTATAAACTTAGCTTCTCAGGAGGCTGAGATCTGAGGATCAAGGTTTGAAACCAGCCTGGGCAGAAAAGACTTTGTGTGACACTTATTTCTGATTAATCATTGAAAATCCAGTGGTGTAGTTGTGGCTGAAATGTTAGTGCACTAGCAAAAGATCTCAGTGAGAGCCAGCAAGCTGAGTTCAAACCACATGACTGAGGTTTAAAAAAAAATCAAGATGTATTATTCTTTATAGTATTCATTAAACTAGAGTTCTAGCCTAGTTTATTCACCAGGAAATATTTTTTCTTTCCCTCTGTTCCTTCCTTCCTTCCTTCCTTCCTTCCCTTCTTCCTCTTTTACTGTTTCTTTCTTTCCTTTCCATCCTTCCCTTTCTTCCTTCCCTCCCATCCTTCCTTCCTTCCTTTTTCTCATTTTTTCCATTCCTTTCTTCCCTTTCTACCTCCTTCCTATCTTCCTCTCTTTCTCACACACATCAGTAAGAAGCCACGTGACCTCATCATTTCCCTCTTATAAATGAAGAAGCTACATGATGTAAGATCCTAATTCAGTTAGTACTGAATTTGGTTCTTTATGGGGTTACTTAAAAGCTATGGTGTACTTTATGGCTTACAGGCTCTACTTTCTAAGGTAAAAACAAAAACTGAGATGGTAAAGTAAGAAAACTTGGGTGGACATTGGCTATTTATTTATTTGTACTGGTCCTAGGCCCTGTCCTTGAACTTTTATGCCCAAGGCTAGCACTCTACCACTTGAGCCACAGTACCACTTCTGGGTTTTTTACTGGTTAATTGGAGATAAAAGTCTCAAGGACTTTCTTGTCCAGGCTGACTGCACTGTGATCCTCAGATCTCAGCTTCCTGACTAACCAGGATTACAAGTGTGAACCACTATCACCCGGCCAAGTTTTATTTTTTATTTATTTTTTAATTTTTTCTGGGGTCCAGTCATGGGGCCTGAACTCTGGGCCTGTATGCTGTCACTCAGCTCTTTTGCTCAAGGCTAGCATTCTACCACTTGAGCCACAGCACCACTTCCTGCTTTTTTCTTTTTGCTTATGTGGTGTTGAGGAATCGAACCCAGGGCCTCATGCATGCAAGGCAAGTGCTCTACCACTGAGCCACCTTCCCAGCCCCAAGTTTTATTTTTTTTAAAGCAGGAGACTTCCTGGATGCCGGTGGCTTGAGCTGTGACTCAAGTGGTAGAGCATTAACTTTGAGCACAAAACGTTAGGGACAGTGCCCTGGCTCTATGTTCAAGTGCCAGGACAAGCGGTCACACACACACACACACACACACACACACACACACACACACACACACACACACACACACACACACACACACACACACACACACACACACACACACACACACACACACACACACACACACACACACACACACACACACACACACACACCAAGCAGGAGACTATATTGGAGACAGTCATGTCCTGAGTGAGCTAGTTCACTCTCTAGGAAGAGGCCCCCTGGGATGGCAGGAATTCATGGGCTCAGTGGCATACCTTTCTTCAGTATCAATTTGTTCCTGTTACAGGCAATTTCCTGCCACTTTGCCAGCTCCAACTGCCACTACATCGATGTGAAGGGCACCAGTCAAGAAAACATCGAGAAAGAAGTCGTGGAGATTGCAGCTAAGTTTTATGGAACTCCAAGTAACATCAGCCTTAAGGTACCTAGTGTGAGATAACAAAGGAAAAATGTCAGCTTTTTTAAAGGAGTGGAGGTGTGGCTTAAGTGGTAGAACATCTACTTAGCAAGGGAGAGGCCCTGAGTTCTAATCCAGGACTGCCAAAGAGAGTCACTCTTTCCCTCCTCAAGATAGTTAATTAATACCTAATTTCATCTGATAGTATATAATACCTGAGTTAGAGTTCCTTTTAGAAGCATTGATGAGAATAACAGGAGAAGTTCACTTTGTACTTGCTTCCTTAGCGGAGGCCTTGAAGCTGCTTCTCCAGTCTCTGGTGGTCCTACCACAAGTGGGCAATCTTGTTCCACAAAGGACAGGCAAGAAAAGAGGAGAGGAAATGAAGGACACTGGGCTTTGTCGAGGCACAGAAGCCAAGATAAGGTTTATGATCATACCTCTTTTCCATGTAGAATGCAGTATTTAGATGTTAGGTGATCTATCGTATTCCTAGTGGGCAACAACTTTTACTTTTTTTGTTTCAGTACTAGCATTTGAACTCAGGGCCTTGTGCTTGCTAGGCAAGTACTCTACCACTTGAGTCCTATCCTCAGGACACTAGTTGTCAATTTCTGAACAAGTTTTTATGATTGTCAAATTTGCAACTAGAGTTTTAATGGAGACATAATTCACACAGGCAGAGAATTAAGATCCTTAATGCTTACTAGTAAGGGTCATGAGCTGGTATTTCATATGCTTTCCTATTAATATACATCATTTCACAATCATTTGCTTTTATCAAATGGTTATTTGGGGTTGGGTAGGTAGCTCTCTGGTAGTGTACTTGCCTAGCCATTGTGTGGTCCTGGTTTCAATCATTAGGAATGCAGGAATGCATACCTGTCATTGCACTATCAGAACAGGATTAAACAGTCTAGGCTGTCCCAAGCATCATGTAAGATCCTGTCTTAAAAAAGGACCAAAACCGGGGGCTGTGTACCATTTTAATTATCTCATTCTAATCAGAAGCAGATTGCTCAACGTAGTTCAGGCAGATAACACAAAGGCAAGCAACAGGAAGGCCAGCAAGGTGTTTGTCCTGAGATGAAGCATCACACTGACTCAAGACCCACTCACGTAGGGAAGTAGCAGTATTCTAGCTATTGGTAAATATTTAATTGGAGTCTTGGGACTAGGTTTGTAACTATTAATGGGGAGAAATGAGCCAGTGAAAGTATCCCATAAACACTTTCTATTTGGTGTTATTTCCAGGATATTTGGACATTTCGGTCCCGGCTTGTGAAAGGAGAAAGAATCAACCTTTGAAAACAGCCCTACCATGTCACTTTGTCAGAGGAAATCAAAGCAAGCCAAGGAATCCAAGGGAAATGCTTTCTCATTGGAGTGATGTTATCTTGTCTCTCACTTGGTAAAGAATGTAGGAACCATGTGCTGGGGACGGGTGTGGAGTTAATTTTGCATTGCAGTTTTATTGCTTTAATGGAGGTGAAATGATGTGGCTAAATATTATTCTGAGAAAAACTAACTGGGTTCAACTAATAAAAGTGATGGGTGTATATTTCCAGTGTCTCAGTTTCTTCTATTCAATTATCTCTCCACCCAAGTAGGAATGAGATCTTCAAAACTCAGAATGCATTGAGTTGTGCATTCTCCTCTGATAAACCCACCATCACCAATGTCACATTTTCTAATCTAGAACAATGCATAGTACACTCCTGAAAGCCCTGAGAAGGTGTGATGGATCTCACCGGAGGGAGCATATGCGTTCTTTTTTGTATTTTTTTAAGACCTTCCTGTGTAGCCAGGTCTGGCCTTGAACTCATAATTATCCTTCCTCAGTCTTCCAAGTTCTAGGATTCCAGGCATCTAGGCACCACATCCAACATTTGATATTGTCTTCATGCGTAGACTTGGGGCAATAGTATCTGGGAGGGAAACTTATTGTGACTTACTGCTCATGGTTTTGACCTTGACTGTGATCCTGGCTGTCCAAAGCCTCCACTGCCCACACTGGATCCCTTGGGGAGAATTCTCACAGATGGGGATTTCTATTCCTGCCTTCTTCGGGATAGGATATCTCCATGAAATTTCTGGATTTCTTTGGCAATGATTTGACTAATTTTTTTTTTTTTGGGGGGGGTGTCTGGTCATGGATCCTGAACTCTGGGCCTGGGCACTGTCCCTCAGCTCTTCAGTTCAAGGCTAGAGCTCTGCCACACAGCGCCACTTCCGGCTTTTTTCTTTTTGCTTATGTGGGGCTGAAGAATTGAACCCAGGGCCTCAGGCATGCAAGGCAACACTCTAACACTGAGCCACCTTCCCAGCCCTGACTAATTTTATGTATTCATTTGTTCTTTTATTGAGGTTATGAGCAAGAGCCAGGTGCCAACGGTTTTGGTGTGAGCCACTGCTTTTCAAGAGGTTAAGATCTGAGAATCGCTGTTCAAAGTTGGGCACTGGTGGTGCACACCTGTAATCCTAGCTACTCAGGAGCCTAAGAGCTGAAAATTGAGGTTCAATGGCGGCCCAGGCTTAAAAGTCCCCATGAGGCTCTTATCTTCAATTAACCACAAGAAAACTGGAAGTAGAGCTGTGGCTCAAAGTGGCAGAGTGCTAGCCTTGAGCAGAAGAGCTCTGGGTCAGTGCTCAGTCTCTGATTTCAAGCCCTATGACTGACAAAGAAAAAAAAGGAAGGTCTGTAAGACTAACAAGAAGCCAGAAGTAAAGCTGTGGCTCATGTGATACAGTATTATTCTTGAACAAATAAGCTCAGTGACATTGCCCAAGTACCAGTACCAGTGCATGAGAGCTTGCACATGCACGCATGGGTGCACACACACACACACACACACACACACACACACACACACACACACAAGTAGTAAGGCTTGCTGGATTTAGGTTAGACTTTGTATCACACTATGACTTTATATAGTCTGTAAAATGCTACTGGAAACTTTCCTTCAGCTCCAGTGTCCTTTTGGCGTACAAATCTTTATCACCATGTGTATTTGCTTTGTTCTTGTTAGGACTTTCTTACTTCTGGTACTGTGAAATGCTCAGGGCTCTTCTTGTATCTTTCCTGCCTGGAATTGGCTTGTCTCAGGTTTTTATCTGCTTTTGAAGCTCCAGAATCTTCCTTAGATCTCTGAAGTTTTCAGATTTTTTTTATTCATTCTGGAGAATTGCCATTTCTTGAAACACAGTATTGGTTATTGGGGCTTGGGGTAGAAAAAAATAACAGGACTTTATTTGATTCTGGTTTGAATCACTAGCATGTATCACCTATTGACAAACTCAAATGGATATATATATATATAATTTTTGTCAGTTTGGGGCCCGAACTCTGGGCTTGGGCACTGTCCCTCAGCTCTTCAGCTCAAGGCTAGTGCTCTACCATTTGAGCCACAGTGCCACTTCTGGCTTTTTCTGCATAATGTGGTATTGAGGAATTGAAACCAGGGCCTCATGCATGCAAGGAAAGTACTCTACCACTGAGCCACCTTCCTAGCCCCTCAAATGAAATTTTAAATCAAAAGCATGACCTGGCTCAGTAGACACTATGTGGAAAAGGAACTATGCAGCTTGTAGGCAGGGACAGGAGGGGGAAAGTGAAGGAAGGGGTGACATTGTCCAAAAAGAAATGTACTTATTACCTGACTTATGAAATGCTAACTCTTCTGTAAATCACCTCAATAATAATAATAATGAAAGTATTTGTTAAGCATGAACAGGAAGAAACAGAGTGTCTTGGAGAGTGAGTTCTCAGAAATACAAGCAAAACTTTCAGCTCTTCTGTAACTTTCTGCCTTCTGCCAGGAACCAAATAGTCAATATTGTCAGTTTTGGAGCCCTGATTCTATCTGATGCAGCAGCACAGCTCCACCACTAGAGCCAGCAGGCATCCAGAGACAGCATAACTGTATGACCAAATCAGGCAGACAGCCACAATTGACCTGAAACTTAGTTTACCTACCTGGCTCTTAAATAAATGTACACATTGAATAAGGGAACACATCTTGTACCTTGGCAGGGGGCACTGCCAGCACTGGATAATGCTTCAGAGGCTGAGCCGAACTGTTTCTCCATGATGTACAGAGGGTTCTGCATTGTATCTTATCTGGGCTCTAAGTACAGCCTGCTCACCTGTGTCACAGTCTGCTCACCTGTGTCATGTGATATGGCTTGTTCTGATGTACAGAGGAGTTAGTTACACAAGTCAGGTAAAGAGTATATATATATATACACACACACATATATATGTATACACACACACACACACACACACACACACACACACACACACACACATATATGTATATATACAAAACCATGATCCTCAGATTTCAGGCTCCTCTGTAACTAGGGTTATAGTTGTGAGCCACAGGTACCTGGCTTCTTTTTTTTTTTTTTTTTTTGGTCAGTCATGGGGCTTGAACTCAGGGCCTGGACCTTTTCACTCCAGGTTAGCACTCTACCACTTTGAGCCATATATATATAGGCAATGTCACCCTTCCCTTGCTCTCCTAGTTTTTCCCTCCCATCTCCACCAACAAGTTATATAGTTCATTTTCAACATAGTGTCCAGTGATTACCACTGCTACTGTAGCATTGTCTCTATTTCTGTGCCTCCCTTTGTACTCCCAAAGATATATAAATGAACAAGCAGAACAAAAAGGAAAGAAAACAAAAGCAGCAAAAAACAACAACAACACTATTTTCATTTCCTGGAGTTCATTTTGACAAATATTATTTTGTGTGTGAGATCAGCTGCTTATAGGCATTGTTCATTCTATTTCCTTCCTTCCTCCTTCCTTCCTTTTCTTTCTCTTCTTTTCTTTCTTTCTTTTTTGTCAGTCGTAGGGCTTGAACTTGGATCCTGGGTACTGTCTCTGAGCTCTTTTACTGAAGGCTAGTGCACTACCACTACCATTTTGAGCCACAGAGCCACTTTTAGTTTTCTGGTGGTTAATTGGAGATAAGAACCTCATGGATTTTCCTGCCCTAGCTGGCTCTGAACCACAATTGTCAGATCTCAGCCTCATAAGTAGCTAGGATTACAGGCATGAGCCACTAGTGTCTGGCTGTTCTGTTTTCTTTCTTTTTTTTTTTTGTCGGTCGTGGGGCTTGAACTCTGGGCCTGGGCGCTGTCCCTCAGCTCTTCAGCTCAAGGCAAGCACTCTACCACTTGAGCTACAGCGCCACTTCCGGTTTTCTGGTGGTTTATTGGAGATAGGAGTCTCACGGTCTCTCCTGCCCGGGCTGGCTTTGAACCGCGATCCTCAGATCTCAGCCTCCTGAGTAGCTAGGATTACAGGCGTGAGCCACCAGCGCCCGGCCTGTTTTCTTAATGTGGCTAATTTACTGTAGATGCAGTTTAGTATATCATGTTAAGACTTGCCCCTCCCCCCCCCCACAAGTCTTCGATGTGTTACTTACAGCCAGAAAAGAAACTGCTCAGAGTTCTGCTTGGAGAGAACAATATATTCATGAGTTGAAACTAAGGGTGCTCATCAGCAGTCAGGAATGCTGATTGTAAACCACAAAAACTGACCTTGACCTTGAGGATCAAGAAATATACTCGGTGAACTGGCAGGGTGGTGCTGTCTGCAAGAATGGTTTAATCCATGGATGGATTCAAAATTGAAGAGCGTATAGAGATATGGTGGGACTATGGAAGGTGGTTCTTGGTTGGAGGAACCCACAGGAGTGGGTGTGTGCTGGGAGGCTATACCTTGGCTCATCCCCTTCCTGTGAGTGCTCTTCTCTGCTTCCTGTCTGCCATGAGGTGAGCTGCTCTGCCACAGCCTACAGCTATGATGGTCTAAAACCTAAGAACCCAGAAGCTAAGTCAACCTTCCCTTGTTTTCTTTTTCTTTTCTTTTCTTTTTGGTGCCAGTACTGGGGCTTGAACTCAAGGCTCAGACACTGTCCCTTAGCTTTTTTGTTTGCTGTCTTTTGCACTTTTTTCAAGTGACAGGCTGGTGTTTTATCACTTCAGCCACATGTACTTCCAGCTTTTTGCTGATTAATTGGAGATAAGAGTCTCTTGGACTTTTCTTCTCGGGCTGGTTTCTATCCATGATCCTTAGCTCTCAGCCTCCTATGTAGCTACAATTTACATGTATGAGCTACCAGCATCTGGATCCTGTTTTCTTTCATGTCAGGCATTCCATCATAGCAACTCGAAAGCTGACTAACGCAGTCTCACAAAGGAAGGAAGCACTGAGACGTGCTTCCATGTAGATGAATGTTGAGGTTCATTTCTCCATCCTTCTTGCTCATACCTCAACATCCACCCCATGGCTGGCTGCTTGGCCTGGCGGGTGATCACTGGAGCTATTGTTGATCACTGAGGAAGCAGCTTTCTCCCACTAGGGGCCTGGAATGTCTGCTCCTGATCCGAACCATGCATTGCTTGGTCTGTAGTCATTTCCAAGAGCAATCACAAAGCCCCTAAAAGGAGTTCTACCCTCACCCCAAACTAGGGATCCCCTTTGTATATTTGCCCCAGTTTTATTGTTTCTTCCTTTCGTAAGTCACTGACTAGCTTTACCC